CTTTTGGAAAACATTCCTTAATGCTCTTCCATCAGTTCCTCTTACCGTATGTATCAAGTGACATACAGAGTTGGAGTCAGGAGCTTCAAAATGGGCGATCTCCAAGTGAGCAAGAGCCTAGCTCCTCCTGTTGGATGCACTGCCTCCTAAGTTGCCTTAGAAAATAAATGCATTCTAAAGCAGTGCCATCCAAAAATTGGCAGGCAATAAATCTCTCCCTCCCACAACTCAGGGAACTGTTGCTTCCATTCTCTTCTTCTGAGAAGGGTTATCAGATTGCTAAGTGTGGTAGGTCTGATAAAAAGGCAATTCAAAAGATGCACTGACTACAGTACTTTAAAGTTTGTTGTGGCCATTCCAGAGAAATGAGTACTGAATGTTACCGAGTCATGCCCTTTATGCAGAGCAAAATTCTAGACTTTGGTCTGGCCCAAGCACCGATGGGTGACAAAGGATCACTAAGGCCAGACTGCTTTCCTAAGCACCTGGAGACCACTTCCTATGCAACCTTCTTGAGAACCTTCTTGTGCTCTTCTCCTATTCTGAGCCTGGACCAAAGATTCACACGACCTTTGGGTGGGGTAATGGTGGCTATGATACAGACAGTGAGCAGGCCTAGGACAAAGAAATGGGATGACAAAAATCCTGAATGAAATGGCTTAGGATAAATCCCAGAAAGAGGGATATGCTGTTTGTTCAGAAGCCAGCAGGCTCCAGTATTCCTCCATCTTTAGCTCTGGATGGGGTGGCACTGCCCCTAGATGAGCAGGTTCACAACTTGGGGTTCTCCGGACTTATGGCTGCTGCTTGGACAGCAGGTAGAAACTGTGGCCTGGAGGATTTTTGCCAGCTTTGGTTGGTGCTTCAGTTACAATCTTTTCTGGATCAGGAGGCTCTGGCAACCATAACTCATGTCTTTGTCATCTCAAGCCGGGATAGCCAATGCAACAGAATAAAGCCTGTCTTAAGCACACTGCACTGATTATCGGTAGAATCCAGATCCAATTTAAGATGTTGGTTATCACCTACAGAGCCCTTGATGGCTCAGGTTCTCCTTACCTTCAGGATCACCTGACCAAGAAGGCAAATGGAGAATTCCCTCCCCAGTGAAAAGTCAAGGGGAGGGAGCCAGGAAAAGAGCTTCTCAGGGGCAGTCACCTTGCCTCGGAACAGGTCACCCCCAAGGTGAGAATGGCTCCTTCCATCTTGTCTTTTTGGAAAGCAGTCAAAACCAGATTTTTCCAAGGGGCCTTCAGAACAGGGGATGCAACTTAGTTGGAAACAGCCAACTCAGAGAAGGAATAGTTATTTAGTTCAGAGATAGTTGGGTTCTATTTAACTGATTTTAATGTAAATATTTCATTGCTATATGTGGTTCTTTCCATTTTGTCAACCAACCTAGAGTCTTAAGGAGTCACATCTAAAGAATTGTAACACTGACATTTATGAAAACAAAATTGACCATTTTATATGACTGCTCCTTCTCTATTTAATTGTTTTCCCCATCCAGCACATAAAAATTAGAATTTGGCAGAATTAAAGGAACTCTGGCCCATATCCAAGACATTATGGGGAGGATCACACACCTCTGCAGTGGAAAAGCCCTTTATAAAAGATCAAGATTTGTCAGTGTTGCTGGAGTTCAAAGCAATTGCTGTTTCTCTCTTATTCGGCCTCTCTTTTTAAGAATGAAAAATAATACTCCTTAGAAAGCAGCTGTTTGGGGAAGATGAATAGCTATTTGTTTTCCCTTATTTCCCCAAAGTTGTAAGATCTCCTACTAGAAAATTGCACTTTATCTGCTTTGATCTAATAAGCAAACTTTATGAATCTGTAGCTGAACCTTCCACTTTTTCTTATTGATAAAGCAAACTCTTACAACGAAAGTCCTGTGCAACGTTGCACAAAGCCTCTTATTAAATGTCGAAGTCAGCAACCGCCCAGCTTCTGCTTAAGCTTCTAGTCCTTTATGGTTGTAAATACCAACATGGAAGAAATGCCAATGAAGATAACGTTAGAAACCAAGCTGAAAATGGGAGATGGATTTTCAGAGCCTCAATAGCTTCTCTCCCCAGGTCTTAAAACCATTAAGGCTGGAAGAAGTGGCCTTGTTGGCTCAAAGTGTGCAGAAGCCTGTGTGTCTTGTGCTCTGTGTATATACTGTTTTACTAAAAGCAACAACAAATCTTCAGTTAACGATATTAAGTGCCTAAATTTTGCTTTTGCTTTTGCTGTGGTTGCTCAACCACCGACGCTGGGAGATTGTTAAACTTTTTCTAAACATTGTAGAGGGGTTGAAAGGTAGAACTGACCCATCCTATGTGCTTGTCCCATTTATGAATGCTTAGCGTGCCCCATATAGGCCAAGTGAGAGCTCTCAGGGCCTGTAGACAGTTGTTTGGTTGGGGTCCTCGCTTTGGGGTACAGCCTTCCCACGGTGGTTCTGTTGGCGCTGGACCAGCCGTCATTCCTAAGGCTGCCAAGCGAGAGCTCTGGCACAAGGCGTTTGATGCTGTATTACAATGACCGATTGTACAAGCACTCTTTTATTGATGTTATTCTTCCATGGTTGTGTATTTGCTTTGTGTTTATGCATTCTTGTACTTTGTTTTTTATTATTACCACAGAGGAATTTAACAAAAAATGGTACAATGGTGGTAACACATTAACAAAGCATCATAGTGATTCGAATTAAAATTTAAGCAAAAGAAACAAAGAGAACCATATAGTCCTAATATACACGTAGCTCAGTCTTTAACATATTATTAAATCTAGACCTGGTAGAGACACTGTGCTCCATCTTCCATTATTACAATATGAAGACATTTCAGAAGGCAACAAAGGACGCCTCTCTTGGATCCAGTCTTTGACATCTGGCGTTTTCTTTCCACATATATACGATAGTTCTCTCTGCCCAACCCCAGGCTCATGAAATCTCTAATTCTGTATTTGGGGAGTATAATTCAACATCACATTTACATTTAAAACTGTGATGTTTCCCCCCACATTTATGTAAATCGTAAACTGCTTGAGTTGCATCAGGTTTGGTGGTGTGCAAGTGTGATAAATCAGTGGATGGTAAAAGGCCATTCCTGCCTTCAGAGTCGCAGGAGGGGAAGCGGCGAAGAGCAATGGGTGTCCAGGCGCCTATTCCCGTCACAGCGGCGTCATCCGATCTGAGCAAGGGGGCTCTGCTGCCTTTTAGAAGTCATTCTGATGGCTTTCCCTATTGTAAAGGAATGCAGAGTGCAGAGTTGGCCGTGGGGAAGGTATGAAAGAGCCATTAAGGAGACACTTGGAAAAAAGATTACACGGTCCAGAGATTGAAGGAAGTTTGAGAAAGAAAGTTGAAATCACCCCACTTTGATTTTGTTAAGAGCAAGATGGGACAGAGAGAGACAGGCTTTCAAAACTGAGGTCAGCCCTTCCATGTAGGCCAGGTCAAGAACAGGCAAAGCAAGGATGTCAGGAATGCTTTGCTGCTGTTATTGTTGTTTAGAACCTTGCAAGCCTGTTCAGGTTTCTCTCTGTCCCATCTTACGTTAAACAGAATCAAGGTACAGTTGTTCTGAATTTCTTTCTTATGTGTGCTTCTGCCTCTGGATTGTATAATTGCTTCTCCTTGACGGCTTTTTGATAACCTTCCTCAAGGTCGGCTCTACCTTCCTGATCAATAGGAAGTTGTATCGTTGGTTGGCTGATATTTGAGTCTAGAAAGCCAGATGCTGTCTCTGGGTTAAAATGGGTAGGCTTTCTGTTTGGGGGATAGTTTGGAATTCAGAAGATCCCGCTGTGCCAACCTCCAGTGCTGGGTAAATGCATGGGAATGCAGGCAGTTATTCAGATAATCAGCCCAAACTTGGCTAGAAAAGATCATGTTTAGAATTTTAAATGACACCTTAACAAGAAAATAAGAAAATCAACAGGTACCCAATTGCAGTAGTACAAAGTAGATATTATAGGTAGTCCTTGATTTACGACCACAATTGGGATTGGAACTTTTGTTGGTAAGTGATGCGGTCATTAAGTGAGTCATGCCTGATTTTATGACCTTTTTTGCCATGGTGGTTAAGTGAATCCCGCTTCCCCCATTGACTTTGCTTGCTGGAATCCCTTTGGGAAGGTTCCAAATGGCAATCACGTGACCCTGGGACACTGCAACCCTTGTAAATACATGCTGGTTGCCAAGCACCCGGATTTTGATCATGCGACTGATGGGATGCTGTGATGGATGTAAGTGCAAGGATCATTTGTAAGTCACTTTTTTCATCACCGTTGTAACTTTGAACGGTTGTTAAACAAATGGTCGTAAGTTGAGGACTACCTGTATATGCTTTGGCTGCTCAGCTCCCAGACTTGAACAGCTATGTTTCCAAATCATATTTAAAGGCAGCTTCATGCCAAACACATTGCAATGATCTAGAATGTTTGCTACTGCCTGATGTCTTTCTCATAATGAGTACAGTGGAGATGATTTTAAAACAGAAATTTTTAATCTGAACTCACCTTCAGAGCAGCTTACAAATAAAAATGGAATTGTATTTTTAAAAGTCACAGTGCAGGGATGAAGCACCATTATCCCTGATTTGCCTGAGAAGCTTTAATGTAAGAATTGTGGAAGGACTTCATGTCAGTGTGTGGTTAGCTGAAGTGGTGTGAGTCATTTTCTCCTCCCTTGCTGAATTCTTAACATGGTCTCCTCCCTCCCTCCCTCCCTCTCTTTCTTTCTTTCTTTCTTTCTTTCTTTCTTTCTTTCTT